GGGTGGGGGGTGGGGGGTGGGGGGGTTGCTGTTACCGGGGATGGAGCTTGGGACTTTGCACTTGTGAGGCAGGTGGTGGCACCACTGAGCTAAATCCCCGGCCCAAGACACTAACAGCTTTCAAGTTGTGAGTTAAAATTCACGAAAGCCTTCAGTTCTTGGAATCTGATTTTCCTTTTATAAAAAAGGCAAAGTTAATTATAGTCTCTTGATAAAGACATAACATTAAAACACAGAACTAAAAATAAACCCATACATTTCTGCAAACTTTATTTTTGACAAAGACCAGAATTGAAGACCATCAGAGAGAAGATAGACCTTTAATGAGTGGTGTTACTAGGCCTGGTGCAGTGGTGCCTGCCTGTAAACCCAACCCTCACACCCAGGAGGCTGAGACAGGCAAACAGGGCCTCCAGGTCTACAGAGTGAGTCCAAGGACAGCATTGGCTACAGCAGATCTTATCTCAAACAAAATAAGTCAGTAAACTTATTTTAAAATTAAGAATTTCTTTTTATCAAAAAAGTACCATGGGCCGGGGATTTAGCTCAGTGTTTCCGCTGCCTGCCTTGCAAGTGCAAGGTCCTGAGTTCAATCCAACATAGGCTGTTACAGACTTACTACATAAAAACATTAAATTATCTATGACAACTATGCTTAGGAAAGTAAAAGAAAACATAAGAAGTGAAAAAACAGAAAATCTCAACAGATATAAAATATAAACAAGAACAAAATGAAAAATTTGGAACCTAAAATACTTATTACCAGAAATAAAAATCAATTTAATTAGTTTAATGTAAGACTACATATTACTACAAAAAAGAAAATTTATAACATCCTACACACTGTACAATATATGCAGGTTTAATGTGTATGACAGCTAGAATATAAAGAATGGCAGGGGCTGGTAAATGAAACTAAATGATTACAAGACCGTTACATTTTATGGGAAGGTGCACTCTACCTAGATTGTGAAAAGTTAAGAATATATATTTTAATCCTTAAAGTAACCACTAAGAGTGCAATGCAAAAGTTATAACTAAAAAGCCAATCAGTAATTTAAAATAGTTTAACAAAAATTTTTTAACAAAATTTTTAAAAGCAGAAAAGGATGAACAAGAACAAAAACAAGAAAACACAGAGAACAAACAAGATAGAAAAGCTAAGTGTAGTCATATCAATAATTACTTCAAAAATATAGTTTTGGTAGTACTGGGCTTCATACATGGTAGGCAAGTGCTCTACTACAGAGCTGCTCATTCAACCCGAATTTTATTTTATTTTGTTTTTTTTTAACCCCAATTTTAAATATTAATGGGTCAAATATTCCAGTTAAAAGACAGGGATTAACAAAATAGAATCAAAACATAAGAATTTGGCATAGTAAACCTGTTTTGCTGGAAATTTCATCTTCTTTGCAGCTCAGCTACTCTGTTGATTAAGTCCTAAGCCTTGTTCTCAACTTTATCTACCTTTCTACCTCAGGAGAAAGTAGTGCTTTTTATGCACTACCAAAGAGGCTCTCTGACTGTCATCATTAATTTTTTTTCTTTAAACAGTCTTGCTCTGTAGCCCAGGCTGCCCTCAAACTCACAGCGATCTTCCTGCCTCAGTCTCCTGAGTGCTGATTACAGGCATGTGCTATGTCAGGGCTGAGCCTCCCAGCTGGCACCAGGAGGGGTCCATATCCTGTGAGGGTCCCCTCAGAAAACACGAAGAGTCGAGATCCATGAAATCAGCAGGAGCAGGTGAGCCAGATCTGAAGAGCTCAAGAACTGCTCATCTTTATTCCTTCAGCCCTTCCGTTATCAGACATACCAGACATTACGTCATGGTGTCCTGACATGACCATGTTGAGCATGCATAGTTGTCTATGTTAAATCATTCTTACGTAACTGTCTCCTGTTATGTGCATGCCCCTGATAGCAGGGTCATGTCCTTAGGTATCCTTAGGTGACCTCAGGCTTTGAGTCCATTAGCAGTGGTTCCCCACATCCCACCCCCTCAAAGATCATCCTTATGCATGGCCCATAGAGCTTACCTTTGTGTACAAAGACCATAATAACAATGACATAATATCAGTATTATATAATCACACTATCCAAGGATTTTTTTTTTTTTTTAACTATGGAGCACAAATAATCAAGTAACACAAGGTCTATCTCTTTTCCAATATCCATTGGTACATTCTCTGGTAAACAACTTAGCCTCAGTTGTCTTAACTGTTTCCTAATATGTAACATGTGACTAACATGTAATATGTGACACTCCTTGAGTGCAGTCTTTTCCCTCTGTGTTCACAGAGGAGGCCAATTAGACTTTAATCTTCCTCTGGTCTATGTACCCTTGTTTAATTGTCCCTCTAAGGAAGCATCCCCCCAACTGCCATAAAGGGTGATGGTTAAAGATCGATCTGGCTTCTTTCTGTTGAAGAGGGTCATAGTTGTGATTGGGAGTCAAAGACATTTCTTAAAGGGCCCATCTAAAGTCCTTTGCCAGGCAGGCCTCCACAATAGTGGAGTTTTCTGCCTCCTGGATAGTTTTCTCCAGTTGTCATCTGGGAGAAAGGCCTCACTGTCGAGAGAAGTCAAGTCATGTCCCTTCACTAGTATCTAAATTGTCTGTTTACTTATTGTAACAACACAAACAAGTTTGGTATGCATCCAACATGGGCAAATGTGTGTGTCCAGGAGACAATGCTGTCCATGTGACTGCATTATAAGGAGATCCCACCCTTCTGGGAGGATGTATTTTATCTCAATTAAGTTTCCTTTTATTATTTCAGGACCTTGTTCTGCCAGTCAGGCATGCAGATCAGTCAGATGGATCTAATGGGCTGTTACCTGTACTTTGGGGTCAGTGTCCTATCTGTTACTTTTGGGTCACCCAAGCCAGTAACCAAAGTGTCAGCCCTTGGTATATGGCCTAACTGTCCATATAAACATGTGCAGGTTCATCCTCATGCCTGTAACTCTGCCCATTGGCTCCACTTGTCTGTCCCAGTTTTAAACCAGAGTACTTTTGTACTAGGCTGGACAGCAGCTGTTGTCCGTTGGGGAGCCGTGCCATGGCTGTGGCCATCAGTATACTAGGCCTTGGCCAGAGGCCTCTATTTCCCTTCTGTATAGGAGCTAGGTGTCATAACCTGTAGTCTATCATCTTGTACAGTTTCCTATGTCATGTACATCATGGATGCCAGCACCTAGCCCTCTACTGAATATCTAGTCTGTACTTTCACAGTCTGTTGTCTCACGATTCCTTCACAGGTGTGCAGACCAGTGTACATCACTGCTAACAGTTTCCTAATCAGGGTGCAGAGCAGCATACATCACCACTGTTTCTTATTCAGAGAATACCAACTCTTGGCTCCTTTCTACAGTTGTGACCAAAAGCCAATAAAGTGCTTCCACTTCCCTTGCTTTTATCATAAACTCCAGCCAAACACCTAAGAATTGGACAAGCCAGCTCCCAGTATTATAGATAGGTAAGTTAATAAGATATCTCCTATTTTTTTTTTTTTTTTTTTGGTACCAGGGATCAAACTCAGGACCTTCCCCATGCGAGGCAGGCGGCAGCACCACTGAGCTAAATCCCCAGCCCTTCTAGGAAGTTAGACAGGGCAGCCCCTGGGGAACCAACATGGAGGACAATCAAGACACATTCACTGAAAGCCAGTATTGTAAAAGAAGAGGAAACTACCACACCCACATAGCATGAATAGCAGAGACTGATATTCTAAATGGGTATCAATCACCTTGGTGGGGGACCAAGATCTTCCACGAAAGATCCCTGACCCACCCCTTACCACCAAAAATCCTTGCTCATTCCTTGCATGCTTGCCACGTGATTTGCTTCCCCATTGGATCCCCATTTAATCAATATTATTAAGCGACTATAATTGTCATAATCTTATTGGTTGTTCACAGTTTTGTCCACGTGATTTCTCATTGGATCAATATTACCTAACCAACTGTACTTGCAATCTTACTAGTTGACTATAGCTTTGTCCCACCTTGAACCTGCCTCACCTTGTGGATTTGTCCCATAAAACACCTTTGAGAAGGGTGAGTGGGCAATCCACTTTCTGGTTGCCCTTCTGTCTCTCTTAGGCAGAAGCTATCTTTCTCTCAATAAATTTTTCCTATTCTTAACCTCTGTTGTTCCTAGAATTCATTCTTTGATTTTAGAGAACACAAACTCTCACTTCAGATATCTAGCGGGTCTGGGAGTTGCATCTTTTCCCCTATCACCTGGACCTTGTCATCTGATGGCCCACCCCCAGGCCAACAACACTTCCTTCAGACTGTGTGCAGCGGCATTCAGATTTGTAAGGCAAACAGGTTAAAATAATGTCAATAGCACCACAGAGCATGGCTTGGTCCAGGTGGCCAAGTCCTAGGCCACCAGGCCATGACACAGAATTGGCCTGTACACATAGCCTTGTGGTGATTCCTGGGAGGTTTATAGCCCACCCTCCATGCAAACTGTAAGAGTCACTTTGTTTAGTTTCTGGTAGTGCACAGTCATTTGCCAAGTCCCATCTGGCTTCCGTATGGGCCAAATGGGTGAATTGAAAGTGGTTTGTCTTATCTCCTTATGGTCACCAGGCAGCCATGTAAATTTGTAAATGGAATTGTCCCACACAGTATCAACCTGACCATCAGTCAAGGGCCCAGAGCCAAGGCTGATGTCCAAAGTCACTTTGGCCTTCCCACTGGGTTCTTGACCAAGATTACATCTTTTATCTGCCCTATGAGCAATCCCTGGGTCTGTCCGTCTCTTATCTGTGGCTAGGCCAGCTGCTATCAGATCTGTCCAAATCTGGCATCTGCTTACCTTCAGCAACCAAACCTGTCCCTAAGGGGCTGGTTCCACTCAGCCAGAAGCTGCCCATGGCCCCTTTTTTCTAAACAGCTGAGTTCCCATGGGTTTTGCCTTACCTGGCATTTTAGTTTTAAGTCATCAAGTGATGCCAAGGCATCTCAGGGCCTCTCTTGTCTCATCATACTTCACGCTACCCAAAACTTCCTGGTTCCAGGGCTTGGCCTCCATACAGGATTTAACACCGCCTCCAAAGGGCCCCGCCCCTCCAGCATTGCTAGCTCATGGCTTGTGTCTTGGGCTGGCTTTGCTCACTCCTTGTAGCTTTCTTCAGATTGCCCATGCTCCTGGCTTTTCTAACCAGGAGTTGTAACCTGGGATCGCCACCAAACTTTCAGCTTCACTCTCTGTTTTAGTTACTTTCTTATTGCTGGAACAAAACACTGGACGCCTACAAGTTAAAGGAGGAAAAATTTATTCTAGCTCACAGTTTGTGGAGGTTTCAACCCATAGTCAGTTGGCTCCAAGGCAAGACAGTATGGTGGAGAGGCAGAGGAGAAACAGTTCATGGTGTGGCAGGCAGAAAGCAGCAACCTTCCTTCTGCTTTTTCTTTTATTCCATCCAGTCTCCAAGACTATTGGATGGTGTCACCCACATGCAAGGTGGGTCTTCCCTCTTCAGTAAATCTATCACCCACACCTAGATCTATGCTAAACCAACCAGGCTTTACCTTCTAAGTTGCATTTAGCTACAGACTCATCAGTGCACTAATCTACTGTTGAATATCACATTCCATGATCTAATCAGCTCTCCAAAGCCCTACCTATGAACACATGAGGTTTTAGGGGGACATCTAGATATAAACCATAACAAGAGGTAGTATTAATTTGAAAATAGCTAATTATATTTCTGAATGATTGGGCTCTGAAAAATTTGATCATCGGGTTCCTTGGAACTTAACTGTCTTCTGGAGCAATAAGAAACTTAATGCCTTTCACATGTCCTCTCGGTCTCTGCAATGGGATACTTTGGTACCTCCCCATATCTTTTCAGATCCCTAGTACTGTTTCTGTACTTCCCTCTGGGCTTCTGCATGCTGTTGCTTCCAAGGCCCACATAGAGGACTTTTGTAAGAAACTCCTCTTGGGCCACTAAAGTTTCATCTGCCCAGGAAAAGAGCAAGAAACACTGGGAGCCCACTCCCTCCCTGGACATCCACTCTCACTGTTTAGAGTACCGGATGTGCTGAGAGTGTGGAAGCCAGGCTCCCTTATGCCACTTTCACTGTCAGGGGTCCCTGGGGTTCAGGCTAACCCGTCCTTTCACCTTCCCAGTTTCTATTGTGAATACTGCTAATGTAAACCACTGATATACAAATCCTGATAGCAAGTATGCTTCAGAGAATCTAAGAACTTTGTAGAACTTTATTTCTTCTGTTTATGTTAAAATTTTGTTACGGCTTTTAATAGCGCTTTTTTTTATATAACCTTTCAGGAGTGGAGAACCAAGATTTTATTCTTGCTCTTAGGAGGAGAATAGGGAAGTTACCCCATAAGAAGTCACTGAGACAGTTTCCCATGAAACTTGGAAGCCTGTAGGGAGTGAGAATTTGAAGGAGCATGAGTGGAGGGGAGGGCAACCAAGTGACAGATGTAAGTTAAATAGGAGCATAATGAGAACAGATTGGAAGGTTGGTGTGGGCTGGTGCCGGGGAACCTAAAGAGGGAATGAAGAGCAAAGAAAGAGAGTGATGACATGAATAGAGGAATGACATGACCTTCACATCACCTAAAATTGCCTGGTATCATCAAATTTTAAATGGCTTGTATGTGGTTTCTGGCTACACAGAATTTCTGAATGCGTAACAGTTGCCACAAGGTGGTGCTCTGACCACATTTGCCGCCACAAACTGGCTTTCTGGGAGCTTTGCAGTTCCCCCTGCTCTTGGGCTTCAAGGGGTTTAACTAGAGGTCTGTCACACTCCAGCCATCCTCAGCCAGCCTGTCATTAGTGCCAAGCCTTCCTCCTGGAGCAATGACAGTGTAAATTTCACAGTGGCAGAAAGGGGGCAAATACAGCTGTTGTGTATTTTAGAATAATTGCTACAGGCCATTTGGAGACAGCTTTATAATTACATCACTTATACAGACTTATACAATATTTCCCCTTCCTATTTTAACCACCCTTAACACTCTGTATCATGAACTTGTGAATTTATTCAACCCAAGGGAGTCTGGAATTATCTGCACCTAGTTTTACAAAGCGAGGTTTGCAGCCTTCTGGGAGGCACTGTGCTCTCTCACCACCCTGCCATTCCTTCTTCTGGGACCTTCATTTTCCTCTCCTCACCCAGCCAACTACTCAGCACAAATGCCCTTCGTGCAAAGGCTCTCTACTCCACCCTGAGTCTGGGCTACTTTATTATCTTTTCCAGATCATCCATCTGTTTTCTCAAATATTGTTTCTTTTCTTCCTATTTTTTTTTTTAATACTGGGGATTGATTGAACCCAGGTTCTTACACTAAGCTACAACCTCAGTCCTTTTTATTTTGAGACAAAGTCTTGCTAAGTTGTCCAGTCTGGTCTCAAACTTGCAATCCTCATGCCTTCGCCACCAGTGTAGCTAGGAGTATAGATGTGCATCATCACACCTGCCTTCTAGTTTTTTTCTTATCTATCACCTCCATCCCAAGGCCTCCAAGCTTGCTTATTTATTTTTGTATTTATCTATTCATTTGGAGACAAAAGTCTCACGATGAATCCCAGGATGGCCTTGAATTTGCAGTCCTCCTGCCTCAGTCTCCCTAGAGCTGGGACTATAGGTGTGGGCTACCACACCTGATTGAGCTTTTCTATCATTATATCTCCAATGTGTACCATATTTCCCTACATAATGAGTAGACAAATGAATAAATAAAACAAACTCTAAAAAATGAAGATCTTTCTCTCTCTTGAGTCTACAGCAGAGATGGAAATATCCAGAAACTGAGACCCAAACCAGAATATTTTACTGACTATTGTGATAGACCACACCCAGTCATCTCCACAGAATACTTCTAAATAGGCCTAAATGATAAAGTCCAGGGCCATAGAGTGAGCCACAGGTCAAGAGAGAGCCTCAGTGTTGATATAGTAAGGTGTCACACCCCTAGTCTGTGCAGAAGACTTGAACAACATGGCTTACTGGATGAGACCACCTGCCGCAGTGTGATCTCAGTAGTTTCTTGAAACCGATATAATTGGGAGCGAAACCAGAAACCACAAACCACATTCCTTCTATTTCCTTCTGCATTCTAGCTTCCTCGGGCTTTTAGAGGACATCTTATCTCCAGGGAATCAAAATCCCTGAACTTTGGGTAGCTCCTAAGACAATCAAAGGGAGGCAGTGCCCACCGGCCTCTGGGCTTCATGCTTATCCTTCTTTTATGCACTGCTTGCTCACTGGTCAGGAGTCAACTGTCAACTGAAAAAACAACTTTTCTTTAGCCCAAGCTAGAATTCTCAACCATCCTCAGTGGTTAGCTTGCTATCCAAGAGGGTAGCATCTTGACTGTGGTTGTGAGAAAGCTGGTCCCTGTTGGGTTTCTTCTTTCTCAAATAAGCCAAAGTTCTTTTCTGTTCATTTGTCAACTCTTCCTTCCATCCTTCTGAAACATTTAATG